ACGCCATCTACTGTGATGTATCAGTTTTACCGTGCTCTTCCCGCATTTTTTGTAATTGTTCCGGGATGCTGCGCGAAACGCGTCTTATGCTGCATGCAGTCACAGTCAGAAACACCATCAAAGGAATTTTAAAGCAACGTTTTGGTAACATGAGAAAGCACCGTTTTGGCTAACAGGCTGGACTCACACTGTCCGATCAATAAGGCGCATATTCTCTGGCAGTGTGCGCTTTCTACTTGGTAAAATTGCCGGATTCATTGCCACTATGCAGCTTAAGGAACATGCAGACGCAGGCGTAAAACGGGTGGCCCTCTGCTAAACAGAACGAAGATTGCAGCGACGCGAAGATCTGTATTGCCGAACCATGCTTTATTTTATACTACATATTACTTTTTCTGCTTTGCATCTCACTGGCTTCCGCGCTCTCTGCGCGTTTGCCTTCATCGGTTCGCTTTCGTCGGTTCTGGGTCCTTCATCCAACCGCAACCCGTTGGTGACGGCGATGTTGATTGGCTCTGCGGGTCGTCTCTCGGTGTTCGTGTATCAATTACCCTATGTCCTTCGGCAGGCAATTTGCGGTCTGTGGCCCTGATATTGGCGCTGATTGGCTTTGTGTCTGACATGTTCCCTCGCCCGCCCAAATAGCGGTCATCTGTCCCTATATGATCTTTGCATCTTATTGGTTGTCTAGTGTGTTAACCACCACACGAACTGCTGCATCCTCCGTTTGCTTGTTCGTCTCACTGACGGCCTGCGCTGGTGACTGTTAGCTAAGCCTATCGACTTCCATCCCTGTCTGCGTCTCTGATGGGCTGTTGGCCTCCCACAAGAATTCCTGTCTGTGCTGTTAATTGTCCGCTTAGCGTATCAACTTCTGTCACAGCAGGTATTAGAATGTCACTAAGAAAGTTGGTTATATTCTGATGTGGACGATGTTATTTAACTCGATGGATACCACGTCGTGAGGTCCGACCACCCTGGAAAGCCGCAGAATTCCGGAGGAGGCGTTATCACTTATGTGAACCAGTCACGGTGTAATTCGGCTACCTTGCTGTCTGCATACTCAGCATCAATATTTGCTGTCATTTAATCGAATGTAAACCCAAATTTCTGATTTCCGTCATTTCCGTCATTTATATAACCCACGACTCACCATTGACTGAGCTCGGAAATTTTACGAATCCTTTCTCACCAGCGTTACCGCCTAAAATTGAGTGCTCTGTCTGTACTGTTGCTGGTGACTAACAAAAGTGATACGACATTCAAGACACTTGCTGTAAAAAACGATATCTTCCAAACCTAGATTAGACAAACAGTAGTATTTTGTTTTCACAAGCAGACCTCAGTTGTTTTCTACTTTAAAGCCGGTTCCTCTCAGCAACCCACACCAATGTGTCCTGAAGATATGTCCAATTATTTACAGTAAGAACAAAATTGTATCTTTGACAAAAAAACCTTCAAAATCATCAGACGGCGAAATTGCTCAATGGAAAATATCACGAAACTCCATGCGATGCTAGCTTCAACTGCTTTTTCAGTTTTCACGGACGAATGCCTATCTTACTTATGCTTCGATCTACGCTTCTCTGCTGAAACTGTCTACCTACTCATGGGCTGGTTCTTTTCGCCGCTACTAAGCGACTTAGACGAAGAAAAGAATGGGCATACAAATTCAAAATGTCTGCCCAAGTTAAATGACAGTCGTTGACCATTAAATCAAGGGTAATGCGACTGAATCGTTTACACATTGATAGTGTGTTAGGTAATCACGATTATCGCACTTTGTAGGCCTTTAAAGCAGATGTGTGGCAAAAGTTCCCTAAAGCGTCTTGATGACGTGGATGTGAACAGACTTTATGCCGAGTTTTGTTTTCGCCTACATGGTATGCGTTCTCTGCCCTCCTCAACCAACGCGCATCCCGCAAGCACCCTTGATCGTTTGGATGTTTATAGGGAACTCGAAGAATCAAAGATAACTGAGGTTGCTGGACCTGGTACTTTATCCCCACTCGTTCTAAAGGAGTGCGCGGATTCTCTCGCGCCGCCCTTAACCGCTGTCCTATGAGTGACACAATCCCTGGCATTTGGAGACCCAACCGCTCCACACAGGTTGCTGTGTCGTATCTTGTACATTCGGTATCATCTGCACTGTATAAAAAATGCAGAACAGTGCGCCTGCTGTTTCTTGTTTGCCAAATGCTTTCGTGAGCGTAAATAGATCAATACCACCGAACTAGTTGCTCACTAGTGGGGTTCATGCAAATATATGCAGCGTGATTACATACTACTTTGCAAATCGTAAACGCTTCACCCGGCTTAACGGAACACATTCACGCACGTTTTGCTCCGATCATGGTGTTTTATACGGAGCAACTATCTCACTTACTGTTTTCTTTAGATATCGAAAAACCGTCCAACTTTACTGGGCGCAAGTATGTAGCTAATGCCGTGATGGATGACAGCTCCAAATGTTGCGACCTCTACTCTCCAGAGTGGTATGGATGAGTTTGTGCTGTGATCATCGTCCCGGTCTCTTATTCGGAACCTTTCTAAATGTTGTGTGTAACCATCTCTTCGAACTGGTAAATCACAAGCTGTTTAGACTGCTGCTTCTTCACTCGCAGTGAGTGATCAACTCATATCCAGGACACCAACTGTCAAATATCTAGAAGTCTTTTTATCCTAAAACCTATCTCAGTTTACCCATGTCTCCGAAACTTTATCCAACGTAAGAAGATTATCTTTTTATGTCCTCAGATTTAGAATGCTCTCCGTACTTCGCGATTTGATTTTTAGATTTGTCACTTCAGAAAGCGTTAGCGAACAAGCTTTGTTTTCAATAGTTCGTCATCAGGCTACTACATCACGAAAGAATAACAATGAATTGTAAACAACGGATAAGGGTACATGTTCGGAAGCCTAGCTAGACTAAGTGCCCAAGCTAGGTGATTGGTCCCACAGCGATCAGGAGTGTGTGTGTGTGTGTGGTGTTTATCACACAATGTGTCCGCGTTACAGGGGCTAGGGAAGGGTGAGTGCCCGGACGAATTTCTTATGTGTGCATAGGTCAGGGTCATGAAGCCGGATAGCAATCGTTTCGGCTGCTGCCAGTAGGCGACATCTGACCGCTGGTGTATGGCGTCTGGATACTCGGTGGATTGGATAGAATGCCTCGTGCATCGACCTGGTGGTTTGGATCAACCAAATGTGCAGACGCTGCGCTTACCGCTGTTCTGGCCAATCCGCTATACAGCTAAGCTAGGCAGTGCTACCGGACTCTCTCAGACAGTCTCCTGATGGCTCTTCCAATATATCTTGATCGACACGAACAAGAAAAAGAGTAAACACAAAAGGAAATACTTGACCGCGGAATCCTGTCCTTAGGTTGCTGATTCATAATTGGCACTGAACTGAAGCTTAAGCTTGCTGCGTAGTAGGTTTGAGAAATTGCATCAGAAAGCCCATCTTTATACACTTTTGGCAAGCCATAATTTCGTGGAATTACTGTACCTGTGGGGCGCGTATATTCGAACACAGCTAAGTCGATCGCAACCGTTTTGTCTTTCTCCTTCTCCATCCTCCGAAATTTCGAGTAGTCACTGAGGGTTATATTCACCTTATCGACAGTCAGATTTGTCCATTAGGACTATCCCTGCTCCTTTATCTGGTCTGGCGACCAGTGCATTCTCATTTGTGGGCATTGAGGTGCTCGTTTTTCAACAGATACCTGAGTTTAGACTTGTATTTGAGATACTGATAGCATGTATTAACCATGTTAGACTTAGTGTTCAGCCGCTAACGGTGTGAGCATGGACACGTGAGAATACACATTATCAAATTGGGCGTCAAGTTCTAGCTGGATCGTATTGCTACGGGGGCAAGAGAATTTGTACGGAGCGAAAGTACCTCAAGCATTGTCTTATCCAAATGTACGGAGCAAAAATTATCAACATACCTCTCCGGGTATTTGTCTTAGCCGTGATGATCTGCTTCAGCATTGAGACTATTCGTCCCTCCACCTGCTTTGTGACTACTCATTGGACAAATGCTTCGAATGGTGTGTGTTCATCCGCATCCACATGACGAAGAGTGGCTTACGCTCCAAATCATCAAGTCGAGAGCTAAAGCGTCATGTTCATTTAGTGTATGCCGCGGTATCCGTTGACAAATGAGCACCTCCATGCCCTCAAGGCGCTTAGACGGAACGAGAAAGCGCTGGTCGCCAGACCAAATATAGGAGCAGGGATAGTCCTAATGGACAAATCTGACTGTCGATAAGGTGAATATAAGCCTTAGTGACTACTCGAAATTTCGGAGGATGGAGAAGTAGAAAGACAAAACGGTTGCGATCGACTTAGCTGTGTTCGAATATACGCGCCCCACAGGTACAGTAATTCCACGAAATTATGGCTTACCAAAAGTGTATATAACAAAGTGTATAAAGATGGGCTTCCCTTTATATATTTTCGCTTGCGCTGCTTTTGTGCAATGATCTAAATTATTAGTAATCGGTCCTTTTTGTTTTACACCTAAGTGGATAGCATTTCGTACCATGCTTTTTGCACGATCGATGGTTGCATTGAGTTAAAACTGATGCCTGCAGCATCTACCACGTGAGTTCGTGATCCGGTTCTCGTCCAGTTGGTCATATTTCATCTTTGACTCTGACGGATGACTTGAAGTCTGGAGCCACTGGGTCTCTTTCACTAATCGGCTTGCATCTGCTTCACACATTCCTAGTTTTTTTCGGCCACCACCTCTAATCCTCGGGTAATACCTTCAAATACGGTTCCCTTGTTAAGTTGCTTTCAGTATGCCATATCTTCCACTAGCCTTGCAGCTTTCTTTGATTGTACCTCACGGACCACTGAATGCGAGCTTGTCAGTTAAATCATCACCTTCATCAGCTTTTATAAAGGTTTATTTTTTATGAAGTGTAGTAACCAACTTCTTGCATCTAGGTTTTGCGTCACTTAACTGGCGCTTGTTTGTTTTCTTAGATTCGGGGATCCGTTCCACTGTATTGGAGTCAAAAGCCAAACTTGCGGTACAAGCCAAGGGTTCTTCTTGGTGGTAGCCAACTCTCCACCCTCTCACTTACCTCGGGTTCAGGACTCAAGGTGGACGAGAGCAGTTTACAAGCCGCGCAATCAGCAGTAGCGCGGCATCATTTCAATCAGTTAATTTACAATTGCGGATACGGCCGTTTGGTACTGGTCAGTTTATTAAATCAAAGTGGCATGGAACGTCCTTTGGGAAGAGCTTTTGACTTGGTAACTGGGGACCTGGATGAAAACGAGGTCAGGTAATTCGATGACCCGTTTTTGGTCGTCTGTGGTATTTGTTTCGAGGGCGTCTACCTTGCTTTGCTTGCGCCGATTATTTGCCGTCCTTACCCTCACTTCCACCCTGAAGACTTGTACGTGTTTATCAAGTTACGCAACAATTTGTTCCTGTTTTTTCCCATTCTGTTACACAAGTCATTTTTGACGTGGCTTTCTGTCTAAGCTACGCCTTCCCGATAATCTCCAAGTTTGCGACCAATGTATCGTTTTGAGCTATGGAAGGTCCAGCTGTCCTAGTGGTCTGGTTCACTTGCCTCTTTGAGCATTGCTTGTGACTGCGGCATCGAGTTTACTAACTTTTGGTCTTGATGATATTTATCCACCGGAGCTTGTGTCGCTGCAGACATTTTGATTCCAGCCAGTGATTTGCATTGTTGTAAATCCTATTCATCTCCGACCTTAAAATCTTAGTCCCTTTGGTCCATCCATTGTATTAGATAAACACCTTATTCTCACTTCGGGATTGTTTCTGTCGCAAATCCGAACTAAACAAATCCAGACATGATCACAGATGGTCAAACCAATTACGATCAGTCATCACCACGTAGGCCCGACGTGGATTTGCACCAAATCCCATTGTTTCTGCTCTTGCAAATGATTTGCATTTTCTGCTACCACTCGTTACAAGCCCTGTTCACAAATTTACTCATGTTTTGCCCGTTATCCTGCATCCGAATGTGTGATATGCGTTTGTTGCCTCATTGCAATGTGTTGGTAAATTGCTTCGAAATTGCTGACTAGGAAGAGAACAGGCTTAGCGAGGTGTTTCTCACCCCCAGCTAATGTGTATAAGATACATGGGAACGAACAAAGTGGCTCAAAAATAACCTAACTATCGGTGAATCTTTCCATTGCCGTTGCGTGCCAGTGTGATACTATCAGTGTGTCCTGACTTATGTGGGTTGTGTTCTCTTGGGCTATCAATTGCAAGTTCTTTGTGTATCCTCGAAGTAAGATCAAGATGTATTATTTAGTCACGTATAAACGCTGTAAATTATCATACTGTCTATAGAAACACATGTTATTGTGCTGGTATGTGTACTTTATCCACTTGAATTTGTTCGTGTGTGTGTGGCGCCTGAAACCCCGAAATCACACAACTGATGTGTGGATATTTATGTTGCTTACCAGCCGTTTTAAACCCGGCTCAAAGCTGACCACAGTTCAGCTGTCGGTGGAATACTAGTCATCTTTCTTAGCAGACTACGATGAGCGAGCCAGAAACAACTGTCTCCGATAAGCGTGATCGTTCAATCGCGACAGTTCACTTGTCAACTGCCATATCGACTGATGGTTTGGAACATCTTCACCTTTAGTTGCTTCTCTCGCACGAGACGTCGTTATCTTCATACTGAGCAAAGTTAGTTTCACACTTTATATTTCATCGGTAGAGGTCAAGAGACCAACTAACGTAGCATCTGCTACACTTCACTGCTTGGTGCTTTAGCACCGCAGACTTTGAGTCTGGTCGACAGTGACGAGGTGATCAAACTTCATTGATTGCCGCACACAAATGGCTGCGTGCCTACGGATGTGGTCACAAATAAACTTACTCTATCTGATTTTCCTTCACCCCATCAATTCTTAGATGCCGTTACTGCCTGGTGCACTCCTTGTGGAAGATCGAATGATACATTGTCTTGTTGAAAATGCTCGCGCTGTTTGCTTGAAGTGAACGATCTGGATCACACTTTCATTCCCAAATGAGCCAACAACCAGAGATGTTGCCCCACGTCTTCATCACATCCAAAGCCTTTGCGGGATCCATTGGTTTCTGTTTCCGCATGCGCATTTCAACCCGTCACGATCTGAAGCATACGTAACCTCCTACCTCTGTTGGGCGTGTGTTGCACCTTGCGAGCATTTGTATTCGTTTTTGTGGGTCAGCCCACTGTGCGTCGTATCACCACTATTTACTGCCCGGCTGTCTTTAAATTAAACCGCAATCGGGTGGCCGACTAAAATCGCGCCTCGAGTGTTTATGTCACCACCAACACCATGAACCTGAACATGCCACATACCTGTTATGCGGACAAACCTGCGCTTTATACCAAACAACGGATCTTCTCGCTCTGGGATGCATCCTATCTGATTGCTAGGATCAATGTACCGACCTCCGTACGATTCAACCATAGAATCTGACCAACGGTTCTTACCAAATCGGTTATTTATCACCATCACCAGCTGCGTTCTCCATACACGCTATTCCAATCAGGCGTGCTCATTGAGGTTCACACTCAGCATTGGCTGCGTTATCTCCATCCCATTTTCAGACTTTCGCTCAGTCACTTTGTTTTCACATTAGTTCAGCTTTTGTCATCTTTTTGGAAAACCTCGAACCTGTGGGATAGAGTTGAATCCTTACAAACTGGAGCTTACTGCCTCCTAATCGTCTAGTTCTTTTTAGCAATTTATCCCTATGGTTTTTTGCCATTAAAACAATTGCCTCAAGAACACCAAACTGTTTTCATAATAGCTGTAGTTACAAGGTAATATGGAAAATGTTTTACTGCCTCGGTGTTGGTCATTGGAGGATACAAATGACTAGTGACGAGGTTCCAAGTCACATGGAAACGCAAGTCGCAATCTCTCGGCGATGGCCTTCATCCTCTCTTGCAAATCACCACGAAACGTCTGCAGCAGAAATGCCCAGCTCGGAGAACAGGACAACTCTCTCAATCACCACTTCGTCTTCACTGCGCTACTTTCTCTACCAGCGCGACCAGAACGCTGTTTGTTTTTTGCTATACTGACCCTACCTTCGGAGCCTCGAGCATGTACCGACATTTTGCAGAGTATTTCTGCCCAACTTAAATGGATGGTTTACTCTCGACATAGCTAGACACGCCAGTGAAGGTATGGTCAAATGGGTGCAGCAAGTACAAATACATTAGAATAGTACTGACATTTGATTAAAAAACAAAACTTCAAACGAAACGTTTTTCAAGTTTTACTTATGGACAATTGTTAACTAATCGTGGCGTCGAAGCGACTGTTTCTGACTCTACCCTTCAAAGAAAACAATGCCGCGGACATCTGCACGCGTAGACTGGTATGAAGCTGCATAAAGACATCTAATGCAGTCCACTTAAGAGTGGTATACAAGAGCAAACCGCTAATTGTTCCGTGATTCAAAGACCGAGTGCCCAATCATCTCCGGTCGATGGTAATTTACCGATTCACTTGTTCTTGTTGGTCCAGATACATTGGACGTACGACCAGGCACTTAGGTCAGAGAATCAAGGAGCATCTTCCGAGTTGGCTCACCAAGCACAAAGATGGGACATCTTGCAGCTCAATAACAGATCACCTTCTTAACATCGGTCATTGTATAAACAAACAAACGGATTTCAAGATCATGTACAAAATCTCAACAGCATACAGCTGTGGAGTGAGAGCGAGGCTGCTTGCTACCACGGAGGCGGTACGCATATGGTTAACAAAACCTGATCTATGCGTGCAAAAGAAAATGGTGCAGTCGTTGAAACTGCCATGGGCATGGAGAATGCGGACATGGCCAGCAACATCACGATGATACATTCGTGATACTGAAACGCAGACAACTAGAGGCTGCATACCAGTTACTCACCATTGAAGACATTCGTTTTACGATGGAATCAGAGATAGAAAACCAGCTCCCATTCTTGGATGTGTTAGTCACCAGGACGATTGACGGAGAGTTACAAACATCGGTTTACAGGAAAGGAACACACACCGACCAGATTCTAAACTACTACAGCAATCACCCGAAATGTCACAAAATAAGCTGCGTGCGAACTCTCTTTCGTAGAATTAAAACACATTGCAGCACTCTTGCGGCAAAGCGGAAAGAAGAGATATATCTGTTCAGATCATTTCATCTAAATGGATACCCACATAGCTTCGTCCTGCGATGTCTAAACAATAAAGCTACGACCTCTCAGCCTGCTCAGAGGACAACAAAGAGAATTGTTCTACCCCATGTAAAGAACATCACCCAGATGACAGTAAGGTTATTCAGACAGTACGGTCTTGCAGTGGCCCACAAACCGGCTGCTACATTGAGGAGAACTCTGTCGAACCCCAAAGCTAGACCCGGAACGCACGAAAGAAGAAATGTTGTTTACAAGATACGATGTCAATATTGTGAGAAAAGCTATGTGGGTCAGACAGGAAGACGATTGTCAACAAGAATACAAGAGCATAAGAGAGCTTGTAAGAACCACTACGCTCTCTCACTGGTTTCAATACATACGGACGAGGAAAGACATCGCTTCGATGGGAACAACACAGAGGTCCTAGCACAAAGAGAGACATGAAAAGGAAGCGAGTTCCTCGAAGCTTGGGACTCGACGCAGCACTCGATTAACATGCACATAGAGATTGGTCCAGTGTACCAAAAGTTAAGACGGAGAGAGCTAAAACACCTTAAAAACCGTCGTGAGCAGCTAAACGAGCCATCAACAACACATCCGCAACAGCCGTGGCAAAACCATCCATTAATCGCCCGCGTCCATCAGAGTTAGGCAGACCGGTGAAGATCAAAGGGCACAGATCGAGGAGATCAGTTCAGAAGTCACTTTCTGATCGATCACAAATCGACGAACAAGTCAGCGGATTACATTTGACCCAGCAATGCACTGAGAAGTCACCTCGTTTAGGGATGAAATGTTTTTATCCCAATTACGAAGCTCGACGAACAAGCTATCTCAGGAATGATCAGCTATTTGGCGCCTGCACCACTTTAAATGAGCACTCAATTGTTACTTTTCCCTTTTTACTAACAAATGAAACTTAACACTGTACCCACGTTTATATATATATATATATATATATATATATATATATATATATATATATATATATATATATATATATATATATATATATATATATATATATATATATATATATATATATATATATATATATATATAACCGGAGTCTATGGATTCTGAAGTGTAGTTAAGGTTGTGTAGCTGGCAGATCGTGCAGCAACGTCTATAAAAGAAACCTTGTTGAGATGTGTTAATTAGGTTCAGGGAAGTAAAGGACTCGATCGACATTTTCTTGGCCACTCTTTCAAACGGAATGGCGTTGGTGGGAGTATGATGAATCAGTCGGTAATTGGTAACAGTTTGCTTCGGGCCACTTTTATGGCGTGAGATGACGAATGAGATTTTCCATTGATCATGGAAATAGCTAGTTTGTAGCGATAAAGTGAACATGTTCAACAACAGTAATGGTAAGTCTGGCCCTCCCAATTTAATCGCAGTTGAAGGGATGCCGTCGGAGTTTAACCTGAGAGAAGGTTTGATATTTTTCATTGGCCGCTGAATAGTGCTGAGAGAAATTACGACACTGCTTAGACTTTTGGTTGTAGCGAGTTGACGGCATTCAGGTACGGGGTTTGATTCAAAAGTCATGGAGGCAGCAAAGAAGATGCTAAACGCCTCACAGATGACAAGTGGGTCACTCAGAAATTTGCCATGTTCATCTAGGAGTCACGTGAAAAAAGAGCTATTGCCGGTTCTATGACGAAGAATAGCGACGAGTTTCGTTATTTTGTTACTCGTTCGTAGAGCATTTTCTTCTTCACTTTCGAGTCTCATTACTTGCGCATGTTTGATCCTAGTGGTCCATTCATGCACTGTATGCGCCTAAAGAAGAAGTAATTGAAAACAATTGTTTGCGTATAGCTCACCGCTTTCTGTTATTCTCTCTGGGAGACGATATATGGGTATCTTATATGACTTGAAACAGTTTGATTCTCGGGTGGTTTGCAGTATGTTTCTATAAGCATGATCATAAGGTTACAAGCATTTATGACTGATTAGATACATTGCAGCAATAAGTAGTAAAAATGATAACTTTGCACAATACTTGCCGAAAATTTGGAACACATGTATTGCGCAAAGGATACGATGGCACCTATGTGAAAATGTGATGATACGTCCTGTTAAATGGTGAAAGCTGCGTAAAAGGTCATACGGTTTGCCGTAGTGGCGTAGTTGGGTTATAGATGAGAACAGTGTGGATTGGGGCCCGATATAATATCTCGGTGAATTCGTGTCTTCGATTAATCCTAAATGGTCATTGGTCAGTATAGTGAGATTACGTCATCGCTATCCGCAGTCGACCACCATCCTCGGACCCGTTTGTGTGTGGTCCCAGAAATGAGCAGCGAGCATTTTGGCGAAAACGACCTGTTGGTGTAATTGTCTCTGTGGGCTTGACTCTTTTCGCTGGTTTACATGTTGAGGCAGTGCATGTGCGGTGAGTTCTGTAGTACTAATTTGAGCGTCGGCGACACTGTGATCATCATTACGTGTGGTGTATAACACATGGGCCAAGTAGGCGTCGCACGCAAGACCTTGTCGTTCACGTTCAAATTACTCAGGTTAATCCAAGATACCCAGGTGTTCCAGATAAGAGTATTTGGAGTTGGCGCCGTGATGCATCAATGCCTAGTTGACCGAATAATTGTTCTGTCGGGAGAGGTGTACTGGATACTGGATGGCTAACGATCTTTTTTCATCTGTATTTCAATCTGTCATTTTAACTCAGCGCACTAATCGTTGTCCGCGCGGGACCAAAATTATTCAACTGTTCATCTCAGTCTGAGAAGATCTAGGGCGGTGCTGTTGAATAAAGCATTGAGTCTAATTATGCACCATTCCCAACTATCATGAGGGTCCAAATTCACGTATTCTTGTCCACTGGTTTGTGTTTTAGATACCGAACTTTCGATTTCCACCGTGAATGTGGCTCCATGAGTTGGGAACGTCTCAGTTTGTTGCTAGAGCAGCTCGTTCCCGATCTTCGTCTGTCGAAGTGAGTCATCCCACCCTTAGCAGAAGATTGGCATGTTTTTTACGTCAATGTGTAACATTTCCTGCGTATGAGACTTATGTTGAATCCAAGTTCGGCGTGCCTACCTTGCTTTCAATAACCGCAGCACATTTCCATCCATGGGTGATCGTAGATAGTTCTTGCCGTACCATCCACAACCCTGTCTGCATCCGTTGTGTTAGCCCGGAGATTTTGGATCCGAGACCACAAGAATGATGAATTATATACTTTTTGAACTCTATTCCTCACCCACAACACGGCATTGCTTGGGAGATTTCGCTTAACATCACCGTAGAGTCATGGTGCTCGTTTGAGGATGCGGTTTGTCCTACCTATGCTAACATTTTGACATCATTTCATTCATGTCAAGTCAGCTATCGTAGACCATTTAGTTTGGAGAAACCTGTGTACCATATGTACACTGAGCGTAACGTCGTAGTGAGAGCTCTTCATTTACCATCCTCCCCACTACACCAGCAGTGGAAGTAGTCGCACCAAACGGATTGATACCTCATTATTATTCATAACCAGCGCATTCAAGCATTACATATCACTCTGGACTATGTCACGCTTGCATCAACATCCTAAGTCCTCAACACTGCCCGGCCGTAGCGGTAACATAGGAGGCATCGCATTGACCTTAGGGGCGAACGTTTCTGCAACGTACAACTCGTCTGTTATCAATCGTTAGGCCCATATCTCGCGATTTTTACCGTATTTGGCTCACTTTGAAGCCGCCTGCAGATAGGCAGGTAGTTCACCCGCCCCTGTTTGTCATAAATCGGAGGCATCAGGCATATCTTGCTAGCGTGGCAACTCCGGCTTGTTTTTGACTTCCACTTATTCACCCTTAGACTCTGCGTCTGGGGTTCCTCCGATCTGAAGTAGGCTACCAGAGGCGCATTATTATGTTTGTAGCTCCTTGGTGCGTACTTTTTGGCTATTCTGTCGTGCGCTGTTTTACGAATTAATCGGATATGATTCGGACAGTGCATACCAAGCATTACCCACTCATCTGCACTATGGTTTCCTGGGACGGGGGTATCTGAATATCCCTCACTTCGTTTGTCATTAGTAATTGCCTTCCTCACTTTACTTTATTCTGTCGCCCATCACATCTCCACTCAACTTCCACGTCAACATTAGGCGCGCGCTTTATCTCAGTCATATCTCGCCTACTTTTCCCTAGACAGTTTCACCTCTCATTGGACGATGCAAAGGTGCTTAGTCGACAAACTGGCACTTTCCGAAGCAACTGCATTGATTGTTTGGATCGCACTAACGTGGTACAATCTATGCTCGGCTGGTTCGCTTTAGAGCAAGCTCTCATCTCCATCGGCTACTTGAATGAGAATGCCGCCTCCGTTTCGGCCTCCGCAAGTGCCAATTCCACACTGGCTCAGTTATGGCCCGGATTCGGGCCTCGATTCCGAAATCTATGGTCTGACAACGCAGATTACTGTTCACTTCAGTACAGTGGAACAAGAGCTTTGAAAACGGATTTCACAAGGACCGGTGGGTATTCATGTGCAATTCCGTCAACCATCACTATCCTCATTCATATTTTTGTGTTTTTATAGCCGAAACACCGTTTTCGTATCATATTTGCTATTTCGCATCATACTGTACGCCAAATGATCCCACAGCGCACTATTCTGGGTAGTAAAGATGGACGGCAAATCACTGAACATCCCTAGACGATCTGGATTCGCGCTTAATTAAGCTTTTGAGTGCTAGAGAAGTTCCAACGACTGCATCAACCGAAGTTTTGTTTTTCACTACAGTGGTGATTGACCTTCTTGACACCTTTCTATACGGCGCCAAAGATCGATTTCTCCACTGCCCCAACAACACGCAACGTTCTCTTCATGTGGGTGTAGCGGAAGGCCAATTTCGCCTCATCAGAAGCGAACTCATTCCTTACCGGCAGGCACATTTGCGGTAACCCCTCATTATGTGAGTCTGAACAGACTTCCGCATTTCACAAACCCATCGGTTGGATAGGCTGGAGAAAACTAGCGATTTTTCAGACGTGGTCAGGCTCCGCTTTTGTTTGCGATCCAATGGAGTTCATCTATAACATGTGCTTTGTAACTGTCGAATGGTTGGAATTTTCAGGTATCTTTAGATGTCCATTAGAGTTCAGCTTCTGGAGGCATGTGGCGACGGGATTAGTGTCGCTTTCTGTGCTGTGTTGTCTGTTTTATCCTACTTCAATTTCACATGCGCCGCTATTACACGCGAGCGCATAGCCTGAGGCAACAGAATGGTTCTAAACTGACCCATTACTCCCTGTGATTTTCACCGATATATATATATATATATATATATATATATATATATATATATAATCCGGACTTAAGTATGAACTGCCACAAACTGGATAGAGACACATTAGACCTCATGAAAAATAGTACTAACAACGTGTATAGGTATCGTTTGGAGATCAGGCTAACAGCCAATTGCACACGCATGAGCATAAGTATCCAAGACGAACTGTTTGGTGTTTTCTTTAACATTTAGACGTGACAGCCTTAAATCTTGGCATCCATATTTGAACCAAACCGATATAGGAATAGTGAGGTAACTGCTATCAGTACGGTTATCAAGTAGAATGATAAATACACAAGTGCTACAGTAAATTGTGTGTACTTAGGTGTTGAAGAGACAACTACCGCCATTCTACATCAATTAAGTCCCGCTGCTCACTCTCAAACATGCGGCTTTCCAAACAGTGTGCGCACTGTTTTGTAAATGTTTAAGACGTAGCATGACTGTCATCCAAGTACCCAACCGTTTGTACCTACTGCTGTGTACTCTGCTGTGGCCATAAGCTATTTGGTAACGGTCGCCATTGTACGTCTAGAGTGCAGCCATTCAGTGCTCCTAAAACGGTTGTCGCTGTGCACCGATTCATATCCGATGTAATATACTAAGACACTGATGTACCATTACTATTGGCATTACCTTTTTCTTAGTCTATCCAGAGAATTGGCCATGTTCAATTCAACTTCTCGTTAGCGTCTCTGCTCTTTCATCTTCAATTCGCTTGGTAGTTGCGTTTTCAGTAGCCGCGGTAATTTCAGTATGGCTGATGAACAACGGGAAATAAAGCTATGCTCACTCTCATCAATCATTGCCGGGCTTGTTCACTTGCCACGGATTTTCCTCGGGTAAATTCTCTTCGTGATCACACGAGGGACAATCGTTGGGCATCGTGTGCTCCAGATGTCAAAATTTACACTGTAGGCGGTCAAGCGCTGGTAACCCTTGGGTTCACACGTATCTACCGAATTGGAAACATAATCAATAATTTGCCACCCTAGCATGGATCCGTATCAACAGCACAGTTCGCTCGGAAACTCCGCGCGCACGTCAAATACGAATAAGCACATGGATAGCCTGAACCTTGATCTGGCGATACATCGACTCTCTAAGCGTCGTGCTAGTTAGCATTGGGCTGCTGGTCAAGCTAGGGTCATGTAACACAAATCGATTTCAAGGAGCAGAATGTAGGTAGCATAGTCTGGTGATCAATACCATGAAGCTTACATAGTGATGTGAATCGCGGCCGAATAATAATACGAAGAGGAAAGATGCCGTAGCTCACCGTCTCGGTATGTCACCTTACTAGACTCCACTTGAGAAGGTAGCAAGGGTATCATAGATCATGATGAGTACAACAGTGTAGTGGGTAACACGTGAAATAACCGCAAAATACAACCGAGTTAGGTAAGCCCTATAAAGGTAGGTTACATGTGACTCATCCGTACTAGGCAGGTGCAATAAATATACTACATTGCACCAAGTCAGTGGTTAATCATTCTAGAGGGAAACTGTACCCAAGCGCGATAGACTAAGGATGACACAAAGAAGATGACGGAGATGGAGTACGCAACTTTACAAGTTAGCAGAGAAATAATGCGATAAAGTCCACTGATTTTTATAAGCTCAACTAAGTTAAGGTCCGCCGTGAAAGAACGAGAGTTATAGCCATGCTCAGTTTAACGAATAAGTAGAAGCATAGTGGAACAGTGATGACTTATCGTTGGTATGTGCTGGGAATGCCGTCTCCTATATTAACTGCAGGTTATCCGTGTCGGAAGGTAAACCAGAGCCGGTTATGATCGTCTCTTGTCTGAGGTGAGTGAGAATTAACAGGTATGTGGAACCAACAAGTAGTCTGTCGTGTGTTACTATTTATTTCCCTTTGGTCATTCGTTCTGACCGCTAGCATATCTCGACCAATTCATCAGTGCCTAGAATGTTACCTGTACCCAAGCATTTCGATTCGCATGTCACATCGTGTTGCAGCTGTTCCGGAATCAACCTTGATGACTTGTCTGAATCTCAGTGCGCTTACCTGAAGGCGGCAGCAGTAAAAGGGGGCGTATAGAGAGGCTTGAAATGGGATACATTGATCTCATATTGCAACCCGCAATAAGTCACCGTGTCACATGAGAAGAAATGTAATAAGATCCATCTGTCAAGAGGGGACGTAGCGAGACACGAACAGCTGTTATCGGGCCTTGTAATTTAGGTGAGCCCCATTTAGACATCGAGCCACCAGATAATGGTGTCACGCTAGTGAACATGTGATCAGCCTGTCAGGCTGAGGTGTGGCGCTTACAAGTGTTTCTAAATGGCTTCCACTTAGTTATTCAACATGAGATATTAGTTGACATACCAAAGGTCCCTGGTTCAAATTGCAGTGTTGCGAGCGGGCATTTGTTCACACTTGTATATGCACTACCACAAATTGGATTGGAGAAACAATAACCCTTCTGAGCAATAACACTACGAACGTGCATGAGTATGGATTAAATGTAAGAATAACAGCCATATTCCTCTAATGTTGGAAGATCGTACGTACAATTATAAGTAACCAATACGATTGTCAGTGGTTAGTAAACGTTTAAACGTGAACCTAAATGGTAGTTGTAAATGTAGTCAGAAGTGTGGGCATCAACAATGGCTAGAGACAGAGATAGGAATGGGGAAGCAACTGCTATCATTATGGTTACCAGGTGGAATGATGCACAAATAAGAGGTACAGTAAAAGAGTGATGTCTTATCGTTAGTGTATGCTGTAGATGCCGTCTGCTATATGTGTTAGAATTCGGTAATATCACACATTCTGATAACCGCTTTAACGCGATCACAGGAACAATACATCTGGTAAATCCCGCTGCGTCCTGTCTTACATCCGGCTTTCGAAAAAGTGCTCAAACTGTTTTAGCCAATTTACAAGAAATAGCTTGCATAACTTCCAATGGCAGGTGTGGCTGTATACTCTACGGTGGCAATAAGCTGTTTATGTAAAGGACCGACTCGCTTGGGAGCTCGAGTAACACATAAAAACTCTCGGGTCCAATCAAGAAAGGAAGCCATGTTTGTCTACGGTACAGTTAAACGAAATACAACTCAAGTGCAATATGTACATATCTCAGTCCTAGTGCAACCGGGTCTTTGCAATGCGCAGGATGAAGACAAATCAGCTCTTTTAATGGGTCCAACGACCACATAGGATGGTGGGTATAGTGTGTCTCCGGGCCAATGGGGAATGAAGGGAATAACACGGTGGATGACTTCCCGGTGACTGGAGAATCTCTCAAGTTGGTATGTGATAGAACACCTAGGTATGTTACACAGTATGGACACGAACGTATCTAACAGCCGGTGTTGGAATGGAACCACTTAGACACGGCTAGGAAAACAATGAATCTCTATATCCATGGTGCGATTTGTAATGAAAACATTGAGCACTGCATAGTTAATCGCATGAGGGTAGACAAATAATGCGTTAGCAAGAGCCTTGGCAAATGGCGCAGATAAGGTGGTTAGCTGAACGTATGATTTTCCCATGCAGCCTGCGGTTCTCATGGTAATTTAGCCGCTTACAATTCACTAACAATCTGTCTTCATACATCTCGGTTGCAGCTATTCTGCTCTACAAATCAATTGTTTCTGTGCGTGGATTTATTTTTCAATGAAATATGTACTAAAGCACTGCCGTACCACCACGGTTGAACTCACCTACTTCTAGGTAAATCCAGAGGATTGGCCATTTCTAGTGCAAATTCTAGCAGGCACATTTGCCCTTCAGCTTCGCCTATTACCTAGATAATAACTACCTTTTCCTAAGTGCACTTAAGTTCAGTACGAGGGATGAAGCGCGGAAAATATAGGTACACTCACTAGCGTGACTTACACATAGTACAGAACATGTAGTATCAACATCAGCATGTTAATCGCTAGTCAGTTACTTGCCGGGATTGTTCACTTTACACGAATGAGCCAACGTTTGGATAGTTGCAACGAAAGCGAGGAAGCGTTGTAGAGTACTTGTTCTCCAGTGATAATTGTTGATTCACGCACCCAAAAATTAGTGAAGCATTTACCCACTTTTTTGCTGGATCAGTTTGATAAACTTCTGTTGATACCTACGTATAGATGCTACAAAATCTTATAGTATAAGATTACAGCCGCGATCCACTGTAGTTGGACTTTGGCGGGTTTGTAATATATTGGCCAGCGACTACCTACTTGAGGTGGGTGGTACCAAGGCATCCAACAAAGATGGTCTTCTCCAGCTATAAGATATATGCTAGACGGTATCCGTTTCCGGATTTTCCTGTCAAACAAAGGCATCAGGGCGTCTGCGTTTACAGAGCGGCCATGGCTTGTGCTACATCATCATTTCACGTTCGTTAAAGGTGAGAACACATCAGCTATTGCGTCGCGCTACATATGGATAAGTTATGTAGAAAAAAGTGAGATAAGAAACATTGTGGGGTACAAAATACCAATCAAAACACAAGTAATATAATGCTTAGTATCATAGGATGCTTCAATAGTGAGATCGTGATTTAAAGAGGAAGATAAGCGGGATGGGGAGAGACAATCCATTGCGTTCGGCTCCTGGCACGTTTGAGAGCTGTCACAGTTTATGGAACGATGGGGTATTGCAAAAGAACAATGGTTAACAAGTCCATGGGATGGAAAGAATTTAGTAAAGAAAATATGATAAAATGAAAAGCGTTTTGGTGGGCATCAACATGATGTTCGCACTGAGACATGCGTAAAAGAGGCGAGATGTTCACATGACAATGTGTAGTAATCCAACTGGTTATAATTTTGGAAACTCACTGTTTAGTTGTGTTATGTGTAGGCTCCGGCTAACACAAGTTCTAAAATGAAATGCGAATGAGATAATACTTCACCAATTCGTTATTTAGTATCCTTAGGTTGGGGACGGAGACATAAGTTGAAATAGCGTTCCACAGCTGACACACTCGAGGAGAGAAGTTTCGACGGCATTCCAACCGACTATTCAATATTTTCAGCTATAACTTATAACCCCCTCCGGTTGGTGTGGTTCAGTTCCAGCAGTGAGCGGCAAATGTGTTTTCGGTTCTACAGGACCTGGTAAACCATAATGAGATTCCCCCGCAAGCGCTGATATCGACTACTGTGTATTCCTAGACTTTACAGTAAGTCGGTAGGGTAGACGGAACAGGCCCCTAACGTTCTTGGATGCCCTATATTGAAGAATCTTGAGAGCAGCAAATCTTGTTTCTATGGCAATGTCACCGGCGTACTCCAAGTCAGGAAGTCGTTCACCTGGAAGCAGCACACCTAACTCGTGTTCAGTGAATGCAGTTTTCACTACTTCGTCCATGGTAAAGCTAAAAGAGTAAGACGACAGTAAGATTCCCTGTCCTAAATCCGGAAGATATTGAAGGGCAGCGACAGCTTTCCTTAAACCTTCACTCTGCCCGATCTGTGAGCGTAAAGCGTATTGTGTATTTCTCGGGCAGACAGTCCCAAAGTGCACATCGATCGACCGAATAGAAGGCATTTTTGATGTCGAGAAACACGACTACAGTGGGTCGCCAATAAATACGGTGGTGTTTCAACAATTGACGTAATGTTAAGATGTGATCAATACTATTAACACTTTGAAAAAACCCGACTTGCTCCTCGCGGACATCCACTTCACGATTGCCAGTCAGTCTTTGAAGAACGGCAGACGCAAGCAACTTCAAAACAATCGATATCAGATTGTTCCCTCTATGATTGTTACATTATGAACGTGAGTATCTCTAGGAAATAGGGCAGTCTCCTGCTGCCTCAGTTTCATCAGTAAGTTGTGCAAATCATCCACAAGAGCAGGTCCACGCGGATACCCGTCTCCTGCTGCTGCCTTATTCAGTTTCAACAGTCCGATCTCATGTTCCACTTCGGCGCGTGAGGACGAATCCACTGAGTGTCCGATAAGGACGCTGGTAGTCCCCGCTGATCAAATTGCTTTCAAAGTGTCCGGCCTAGCACTTTAACCGTTTTGATAAGTTGTGGATGTATTGTCCACTCTCGTCGCATATATTCTCGCTGACACCAGGTCTCCTTATGCTCGTTTCATTTATCAGACGGAATAATTTCCTATGTTTTGATATTGTTCACAGCACAAGTAGCACCAGATTCACCATCGTGGCCATTGTTCGCAATGGCGATATGCGCCGGGCACTTTACGATTCTGTCCTATATTTTTCTGTCGTCTCGCGAGTGTTTGCCAAGGAATCTACTTCTGTCGGTGTAGCTCGGGATGCGATTTCATACTCTAGGAGTGTGTAGTCCCCGCTTAATCATGGAGCGGAATGTAAGCATTCTTCTTCTGCAGGAACGGCTTAACAACGTTGGATTTGTGTTTCGTTTAATGTAGAGTTCATTGTTCTTTTCTCGATGTTGCTGAAGTCCACAGCCGTGGAACCGAATCGGTACACTTGTTTCGTTTACCTACTGACCGTGTAGCGCACGCCTACTAAATCGCAGATGCACCTAATCCATGAGGCCATTTTCATGGTACACCTACTATAGGACCGTTGCTGTACATGAACCTAACTTGTTGTTGCTGGTGATCGCTGTACCTTATGGGTGGGCCGGAAGCTCGTTATACGAAGGTGTCTCGGGATCATGATTTCACCTTCATTCTTGCACCACGCTCTTGCCACCGTGTCAGTGCGATATTGTTTTCGTGTAACTGTTCGGTACGCTTATGACTCAGGATTGCTTCGGCCTGTTTTGTTTGGTCCCTTCAGGTTTGTACGCTTCCCAGTTTCATTGGTTCCCACGCTCCTCTTGTCTCACAGTTGGCTTGTGATAAGTTTGCTTGAATCGCCACTATATGGTTGAATTTACACCCTCCATGCGAGTGATCTTAGCCTACCCATTCGTTCAATTGCTGAGCATATGATTGACTACACTCCGTCACAGGGACCGATCGATAAACTCGAAACTGTCGACAAACAAAACAACATATGAGTTTTTCTACTGCATCTCAGATTATTCTCACATTTATCTCGTGATCTGCTTCACGTGTCCCAGTTAAGATTCCGGAGCGTATTTTTACAAGCGGTAACATTATCTTTTTTCTTAAGCTTGTATGAACTGGCTATCTAATTTATCTCTATCGTCTACAAACAGCTGAATGGAAATACCCAAAGCAAGCCGGCTTCATGCTATCTCGCTTGACGCTTTGATCTTCCTATTCCCGTTATCATCGATAACTAGATGAAGCACGCACCTAAATTTTTCACGCGTTCTATTTCCCTCTTCGGCCAACAGGCAAGCGAACCTTCCGTGGCATGCTCATGGATGCTTATTATTCGGCCGTTAGGTATTACATGAACAATTTTTCCGACGGGTTTCGTCAGGATTCCATGCACCTGCTCTTGGGGCAGTATTTGGTGCACGATGCTGATGGCACTCCAAAACCGCTCACTGGACCTGGCGGGCGCGGTCGTCGTGGGTCCGGGAACGCTGACACTGAATGGCGTACACAATTCCTTCCGCTTGTCTTCACTTTTGCTATGGCCATGTCTGTTTTGTGCATGGTGTTCCCAACAGGTTGGTTTATTTGCAATCGCATATACACCATGATTTTATGAACCATTCACCGAAAACGTTCCAGTAAGACCTAGTTGTTGCCTACTTTCAATTGTAGTGGTATTTACTCAGCGGAGTCATTCAGGGATACTTTTCAGTGCGCAATTTCATTATTCGTCCAGGAGCTCCTCTTACCATATTTTACACTTCTAGTGCTAACGTCTTTAACTTGGTGCCTGGTCTCGACATCTATCCGCATTGTGTATGTCAGCAATGAGTTAAACTTGGAACGTTTTTTAATCGTACACCACGTAGCCCCTACCGAGCCGTAATGGGTCTCAGTCGTTTGACTACACTTAATGCATCAATGCTTGTTCCCACTCACCCACTGGATCTGTTCACACCGTGTGTGCATTGGCCAGCACATTCTGAGGTTGTACTACTGGTAGGTAACTCGATGGGCATTCCAATGGCATGATAAATTTTCTTCGGATTTGATCGGCAGATTTTAACACACTTCACATCCCGTTGAATTTGTGACCAGAGATTGGATTTTTGGTATGTATTTGAAACCGTCCTCGTTGCAGTCATCCTATCAGGCCAGTTTCCGTCGATAACATCTGAGCCGATCAATTTAACTTCCGTTCGAATAAATTGTATCAGTTCAGACTCTCAACCACTTTCGCTTCAGCTTTCATTAGCTTGTGCTTGTCTCAGTTAGCCTTGTAAACGTAGTTACCTGATGTGATCTGCCTAAAGGAAGTCTCTTTGTGACCTCCTTTCCTGACATTCCATGGGCATTGTCTTCCAGTTGAAAAAGAACAAGCAGTCCACAGGGTTTACTGACTTAACAAGTGTTTGAAGTTTAACGTCAGACTTGCAAAAGCAAAGACATACATCTTTTTTGCCTTTAGAGACCAACTTAATTTCCCTCCTGCTCATTCTTCCAGCCCATTGGACAGAACAATTCACTTACGTGTTGTTCTGGGGATCGGCTTCGATCCTTTCAGCTTTTGCCATCTTCGCCTACGGAGAGGAGTTCGTGGACCGACCCCGCTTCTGTCCTGATTGAGCAGCAGCGTGAATGGCACCACTTCTCTTCGCCGATTGTGATATTACCGCTCACTCAGTGCACTGTTCCCTACTATCCAGCCCCATTCTTGTCTGCTGCTCTCTGTTGCCAATTAATTCGTGCGCACTTGATCACATTTTTATATTTTCGCATCCGAGTGCTTCCGCTACTGTTTTATTATTGCATGCCGTTTCCTCTACCTTTCCTCTCTTTTGATCAATTTTCTCGGGAGATGTCAAGTCTTGTCTAGCGACTCTTCCCATACTTGATAACCGGTTTTATTTTTTTCAAGGCCATGAAGTTTGCCTACCACTACTGTTAGGGTTATTGGATAAAGTTTGTTCGCCGCCATCCTGCGAATATTTGCCCATGTTGTTCTTTACTTTGCACGCGGACTGCGTCTGTCTTTGATTTCCTATCTAACTCCTGTCTCCCTTAAATGGGATTTAGCACATATGAATCACCTTCATCCGGTGTTTTACTGCTGCTTTCACTCTCCTAGAGGCGATAGTTACTGGGGTTTCAAACTAACCTACTTTGTTTGATGTTATCTTATTTCCTTGTTTTGCATGTAACTATTTCATCTTCTGAGTGTTTCAGCTGAATCATCGTAAGTAATAGGAATGCGTTATCCTTGCACAGTTACTTACCATCGACCTGTGAGAGGTCATTATTTATAAATTTTCACATGTGCATTTTGCCTCGTGAGTCCCCCTACTATTCTGCTCTGCTCACGCTCCTCCTCACCTAGACTCCCCGCGAGACCCAGACGATCTATGTCCAGGTAAATACGATTGCGCTGTACGAAATGGGTGATGTCAGGGCCACACTCTGTTCTTAACGACTTTGAGGTTACGATTTCCCTGTATTCTTGGTACCTCGCTAATAACGTCACGATATGTGAACCACTCACACGCCATTAAAATGGCCGAACAAGGACGAATCCAGATTCAACGGCAGCAAGCGCGTATGTGCCCTAATTTATTACTATCAATCCCACGCTTGTATGGTTGTGGAGTGCAATTCGAGAGCATTTTTCCATAGGCGCGGTGCAATTGTGCCCACGCTTGGCAATGTCAGCTGTTCGAGACAATCTGAATCGACAACACACCGTTCTCTTCGCGCTTTTTAAACTCGTTTATCTACACCTAAATGTTTCATCACCAAGCAATTCCCTACCCTGGCTGTGTAGTGACAGTTTACTCTTGGTGAAATTAGAGGCCACTAAGTAGTTCCAGCTCGTCCGTCCTCTCTCAAGAATACGCCATCCTTTAACCTCGTAGTAGATTTCTAGGCTACCGAGTAACTCGTTAAACATAGAACCAATTACCGAAATAGTAGCTCTGACGTATTTGTTTATTGTATTTCCCATGGGTTGTGGCACTATGACAATTATACTATTGGCCAAAGGTCATGTAGTAGTAGTGGCGTACTTTAAGACACGGTATAGGGGCCCACTCTATTCCTAGTCCACATCAATGATCTACCCCAGCTTCTTCGGTCGCCTTGTGCCTTGCTTGCGGACGTCCTGAAGAGAATAAATAGGACCCGAAATGACTGCGACCCATTTCAGCAAAACAGCTGTCTCTCCATGTGGTCTGCACAAGTCCGCCTCCTGATCAACCCACGCACGAGATTGGGGGAAGGGTAGTGATGGCCAATCGTAAAAGACCCAGTCGTACTCTTATGTTACGATTTGAAATTCGTAGACAACACGAACAAGCTATGGTAACGGACTGCGCATGCTTTGGGCGCTCATTTTCTGCATTTGGTCTGAAGAGATTGCTCCTCGCCCCTTCCGTCATAAGACCAATATTGGAGTAAGATTCGGCCGCCTACTGTTCAGTCACCCGAGGCGAGACACAAAAATCCGACGGGTCCAGCACGTAGCTACCGGACTCATTCCGAGTTTACGAAGATCGGTGCGAGAAACTAGGTCTCTACCTCTTATCCTATCGTTGTCTGCATGTCGATGTCACCGTAACCTACCTGTATCTCAGTGACTATCCTATGTCAAGGCCGCTGCTTCATTTGCGAACGCCATGCAGCACACACGGACACCAGTACAAACTTGTGGTGCCGGATATAAAGCGAGTCCCCTACTCCCTGTGCTTCGAACGGAGGGTGGTAAGTGTTTAGAACAGTCTGCCAAATATGTGCAGCCGTTCAAAACCTTGTTGGATTTACATTTCACCCCAATTCGATTCAGAGAACGATTGCACACTAGCAATGACCGTGAGACCAATGATAGTGTAAGTAGAACATTATAAAATGCTACGTAAAAATTGAAGAACGATTAGAGGATCAACGGGCGACAGACACTTTTGGTGATATTTGTGATTGTGCTTCGATGGATTTGTACATATTTGAATGTATGCTAGCTCCCATTATGCAGTATTCAGTTACTAATAAAGGTTCCTTCGATCTTCTTGAGTATTCCTTATTTCGCTTCTTAATTTACTGAAGTGGTGTCAGATAGCTGGCGAATATACTTTTGATCGACTGATGAACTCGGTCGGGAAATTATGAGGTGCCCTTTTAGCAGGAAGAAATTTGACCTCGCTGCATTAGAGATCTCCCAAAGGGGCTGTAGCATCTTCGGTATATCCAAGCAACGAAAGTTCACGAATTGCACACTACTAACGGAGGTGCAAGTTGGCCACAAGTGACATCGTAGATACTGGAGCTATCGAAGCTACAAGTGTCGCTAGCTACTGAGGTTCAATAACCACGCCCACTGGAAGGGTCAGTAACTAGAGATGATCATTACTGCCGATCAGAACGCCGTCAGGTCAACATTCTCGTGCGGATCTACTACTAGCCGTAGTACACCTTCCCAACAAACGCATCCCTGTTCCGAATGCCACTGGGTATAACCATTGGTCCATTAAGTTTTGGCACACAAACTGATTCGATGAAAATATTACACTGCGGAGATCGGGTGATTTCTCGTCGCTATCATCTATCTTATGAGAAGCATGGCATCTGCAGTACACCTATTTCATCAGCTACACTTACAAGTCACAACCAATCAATTGAGATGCATATGGTTCGCATCTAAACCAATGACAGAGCATTCTGCACACTGGTGTTGGCTCACAGTATTCATCGCTCGTTAAATTTTTATTGATCTACGAGCCTTGATTATGATGCGCAACTAATTTAACTGGGGGTTGATATTAAACGGACGACCCTGGATTGCACAAACGGCAAGTTTCGTTGCCAGTTGTGATCTGTGACTTGACAAACACGACAGTGAAATGTGAACGACACATCGCTCTTTCAACGTGACTCATCGTTAACGAACTCTTGCTCCGTATGTAACACGAAGACTGCATCCGTAAATAGCACTTGTTGACAATTAGCTTTATCGGCTGAACATCAAGTGAATAAAACACTAAAAAGTCACAGATTCAGCCGTCCGTTGGAGACCCGTCTGAGGAAGCGGCTAGCAAGCATTATCCTGAGCCAGCACATCGAACGTGGGACCACCAACTCCGTCCAGACCACATGTGGCAGTATGCAATTTACTGGCGTGTAGTGCGGAACTTCCTCACAGCCACTACACATCCTGAACCTGTTTCTGTTTAATCCTAAAAACCATTTAATAATGATAAAACAGAATGACAAAATACAGAACACGCGGCGCTCATATGGTATCGGATAGCATCCACCAACAGCACTGCTGTGCATCAGAACAAGTGAGTTTCTTGACTTTGATGTCATCGAACAAAAACAGAATGGCAACTCATTTGGGCGTGGGCGAATTCTATCAGCTAATCAGTAGTGCCGCGTAAGCTGATCACAATGCGCATTGTGCAATCAGTCGACTGGCACATGGTTGGCCGCCCAGTTCGTCTCTGGCATACCATTCCGATCAGCCGCTCGCATCGCATAGGGGACAATGGAATGGTCGCTTATCATGAGAAGCCCCTCTCGCCCTTTACCCAATGCGTTGCAGTACCCAGAAATTGACGGTTGGTCCATACCGGCTTTGTGCTTTCACTAAGAGACTCGGATGTTGGAAGCACAATTTCAAGTTATGACAGGTGATAAACGCTGTATGAAATAAAGCAGTGTATGTTTCGTTGGTGCATTTCACTCTTGACAGACAGCTCTCTGATTTTCGGCTGCCCGTTTCATTTTCATCCATCTTCCTGTTTCACTGTCAATCTTTTTTTCATTATCACGGCGCGCCACACTGTCTGGAGTATCCCTGATGGATTGGAGAGAACCGAGTGACAGCTTCCAGTCGTCACCAAGGGCTCCACTTACACACATTATATTTGGACCTGAACGAATCGAAGTGACTTCAAGTAGTCGGAGTGCAACCGCTAAAGTAGACAAAAGAAATTCGATAATCCCACGATCATACGTAGGCTACGAGTGGTCAGTAGTTCGTTTTGCGGATAGTTCGTTAACACCAGAAGCACCTCTCACGGATTGAGTTGAGACGTGCGCGATCCACACTTCGCTCAATGTGCTGCGCAAGTGACTGCCACCTGATAACCGGTAAATGGAGAGCCAAAATGCAAGTCAAGGGTATGGGGACTATGTCGCGTGAATGCATGCGGTGGTTGTGGTGGTCTGCATTCACGAAAACAAGTGCGCTAGCATTCGACTAACAGAATTCTAGAGAAGTGTGTTGTGTGTATGTTAACCGCCCGGGGGGTGTGCGGTCTCCAGTACACTGGGTTGAGGTTAGATGAGTCGGCGAACCTGTTCATGCACCAGAATCGGTGGATGTGTGCTAACAAGCGGCGATTGTATTCAATTTCGGCCTTCAAGTGTAAGAAAAACACTAATCTGATCAATAAACGGGGGCAGACGGAATGGGTTACAAAATGACCCCGATGAAGGCAAAGTTGAGGGAGTAATTCATTGCAGTGGCAGTGCAATCGCGCGGCGATCGATTGCCCAATCAAAATCGCGACGCACATCCGCAAACGGAAGCACTAAGGTGACAAAATTGCAAGGAAAGTAGAAGAAATGCAAAAAGAAAAATCAATACAGTGGACAACCGGTGCCCGTTCAATTCAAGTCGGAAAGGCTGGGATGGTCCCGAAGGAACCAAAGCATTTGAATTATGTCTGAAGATCAAGGTGTGTTATGGTACAACGGAGAGGAATATCGGATATCAAAGAAAAGTGCATCCGTTTGGAAGGAACAGTGCGAATATTCGGCTACAGTTTGCAGACACAGACCACTGATCTATGAAAACAATCAACTTGTGTGCGCAGTACTCACGCAAGCGGATTAATAAAAAAATAGCTAACCTGTGGAACGTTTGAATTGAAGGGCTAGGAAATATGGAATTAGAATCGTAGCACAAGGGAGGTGGCATGTGAATTTAAATCACATAAAACAGTGTACAAAGTGATGAATGGAAATCAGAGTTCTGGAAATCGTCACATGGAACAAAAAATAATCCAACATGATCGATACGGAGGCCACAAGAGATCGGATGAAGTGAGGCTTTAAAATAGTGGAGCGTACCGTCAGTCAAGCGAAGATGACTGGACAATGAGTTAGTTTGTCCGAAATTGCACCAAAAGAAAACGAGTAAGCATTCCTCTCTATCTTTCCACTAATACCGGCCGTAAGCGAATTCGATTTTTGTAATAAGAAGATTGATGAGTTATCTGTCGGACGCTCTGCGCTCAACAGATGCGTGTAGGGAATTTAAAAGTTCCGCATCTGTAAGGAGGGAAACATGGAAAAAGTATTGGTGGTATTTTTAAAGTAGTCCAAAAGGTAGAAAAATGTTTATAAGTAGTTGTTTAACAAATACATAACGGGTGGCAGAACACCAAAGTATTGTCAGACGAGGGGAACTGAAATAAATGTGATCACTTCTACTTAAATGCAAAGCACACAACAGATGAAGTCATAAAGTGCTGTCGGACGCCGCATACATACGATTGTTCATGTGTTGTCTGAGAGCGTTGTTCCAGACATCACTCGATGGACCGAAAGTCTGGCAATATTCTCGGCGAGAAATACGTATGACTTGTCGAAAAGCCACTGGAATTCGACGCAATAGTGCGACGTGTGAGTGGATAGTCTTGTAGCGATGTTATACTTGAGTGCACACTTGTAGCTCCGTTGATAGGGATGGTGCGAAAGTTGTTGTGGCACCGGTAACTCAGACAGTGACAGAAAACCAAAGAGACTGTTACTGTTAAACAACATAGACAAAGTGACTAGCGAGAGCAAGACAGAAGTGTTAGTCCGTAGAACTCAGAAACCTAATACTGATTAGGCCGTGTCCGTGGTATGCATACTGATCTGCTGTTTTACCGTGCACTGTTTGTTGTCGTTCCACAGTTAGTGAGGCGAAACCGCGGGTATGGTAGAAATCGCGAAGAGTATGGTTAATAACATTAGTCAGCTGGTGCATACCGTTCTACGGAATGATGGACTCAGATGGGTCGCGTCGATGGTCTGAGACACTATCGATGGAGCACGGTTGCATTCATTCTCGCGTCCGGTTGGTATCCGCCTACTCTAAGTACTAAACATACACACATAGGCACTAACTAATGTCGGCATGTGATGTGAGTCATGGCCCGCATTTCAGTCCTCTGGTAATATTTCTTTGACAGAACTAAGTACCTATGGCTTCCATTGGAATGTGGCCGATTCTCTGAGAAAACGGCTTTGAGTAGTCTGAGGCCACTGTCGCAAGGAAAAGTGTAGTAAGTGGCCGAGGCCGGCATCGTGCGCATCTGACGACAGACGCTTGATGGTTTAAACATCGGTGAGTATAACCAGATATCGCAACGAAGTTCCATGGCTACAAGTAGAAGAGAGCACTAACCTAAAGAATGTTAGGTCACGTATGGTAGATAGTACAGGGAATTAAATAAATAAAGTAAACTCTTTATTCTCGACGATGCGAGGCATGATCATGTTAAAATAAAAACGCGTGATCAAAAATGTGCAAAAATACATGTTGGCCATAACAGTGGATGTTTGTGTGTGTGTGCGTGTGTGTAGTTTGTGCTTGTAATTGTGCTGCTCTCTTCTCGACTGCTTGATAGTGTCGGCAGTGTGAGATGTCCGTGGGTTGATAAGGATTATCCGGATATTTACGGGATAGTGACCATTTTGTGGCGAGTCACGACCGCCGTCACAGTGTTATTTAGCAGACATTTGTGGCTTGCCGCCGAATATAGTTGCTTTGTTTCTCCATAGTTTTTGAGTGTTATATGTTGGACCAAAATGTTAGAAAGCTGATGAAAAATGCTCGTCAAACAGTGAATGATATGGTTTGTGATGGTAATTCGGGTGAATAGAACCAGACGCGGGACCAGCGGACAGAAGGCCGATGAAATGCCTGCCACGTAAAGTGGGCGCAATCACACGGACAGAGGACACTGGATGGAATCGATCCAGTCCAGCACGAAATCAAAACACACAGGATCGAGCCGAATTGGCTCGGGCGACAACGAGTGAATAGTAAACATGCTAACGAACCCCGGCTGACAGGACGTTTTACAATGGCGACTGGCCAACTGAACGGAGACGACGCGGAAATAATGAGCAGAAAGCCAATCAAGTGCGACCTCCCGCGAGCTGATCATAATCGCGCGGACCAGACGAACAGCGCGAAATCGGCAAGGCATGACATCAATTAAGCTCAAAGTGACCCAATACAGAACGGATGTGGGTCGGGCTGGTGAACGTAGGCAGATGGCATGGGACACAACAACGAGAAATAGCCAAAAGAAAGCTGTCATGCTGAAATAGCGTTCCAAGTTTAGTTTTAATGAATAACGCGCTGACCGCCAGCCAAACTTTGTTTTGACTGTCGCAGGGCCACATGATATGACCGAAAATCCGCGAGCGCATTCATGGGCCGGCTTACTGACCTGATCGGCTACGTGAATGATTGGATCCGAAGCTGTTCGGATTAAGGGGGTAGGGCACGCGACATAGCATAAGAACAAGGTGGATAGCAATACTTTCGAGATTTCCGGGATGGCGACAATCGTCGACCACATCGAGTAACAGCTTCACATAGCAACCCTAGGAGAGGATGGCTGAACAAAGTAAAAAAGGAGGGTGGGTGCTGCCTGGGTCCTTTACAGGAGTTGGAACAGAAAACAAAACGCAAGCGGACAGGATGTCACTTCGTCTACCTTTTAAATGGGGTAAGTTAGCAACATTAAGTACCAGATTCTAGTCACAGATAACCTCTGTCAAGTGCGTTACTTCAATGGAGGCAATCACACACCAGATCCAAGGACAATGGTCCAATCAATAGGATGGGTGAGTTTCCGACCTCACTGTATACCACTCACGGTGACAACAGTATCGCTACTCGCCACGAACTGGCCACATCAATCTGCCCGACAACATCAGAACATATCGACACTACACAAGCGTGGTGATTGACGACGAAGCCCCCAAAGTTGATTCAGGTTTCCGGGTTTCTTTACACGGAATGACTAACATATGTAGCTGAGATATTGCCTGTGAAATGATTTTGCGACTTTCTCGACACGCATACGGTGGTTCCCTCTAGATTGAAAGTCGTTTTCGATTTGGCTGATTGTAGCAGTCACGGTCTATAGCTGAAATGTGCTACGTAAACTCTTATCTGTTATAAATTCTCGACTCCAGTGGCCACGTAAGAGTCAAGAAGCTCCTCACAACCAAGGTTGCCCTATTTCACCTTTCCTTTACAATTTTTCAATCGAAAATGTCGTCCAATGAGCAGTGGGAGGTGCTCAACACTGCGGCGTTGAGCTTCTACCTGCCGACAGAGTCGTGGACTTGAATTACGCTGATGGTATCGCTTTGCTAGGGTGATTTGAACCGCGTATCTAAGTACGACTTGTATTTCACTCCAGGCAAATGCAAAACATAACTGCAGGATTAACAGGTGCCTACACCAGTCCTCTCCATTGCAGGAGACAGGTAAGCACCTACCGAAGTGAAGGTGGACTGTGCGAGCAAGTGTGGTGCTCGATTCATCTGAGGCGTGGCGTACTAATCGTAGTTGTAGCCTATCGCAGTCCGCGAAGTCGCCGTATGAATTGGTTGCTGCATCTCCGAAACCACACAAATCGTTCCCACGCTCATGGGTGATTTTATTTAATCTCTAATACTCTGGCCTCAGGTTCAACTATTCCCGGGCATTGTGAAGTGGAGACAGTTCGCGAAAATAATGCTTGGGACTGAGGCAGCACATGACATCTGCCAGCCGACGCGCGTTACACCGCACTCAAATCCGTCGTGCAGCGAACAGCGTGCGCGTGATGTTTGGTCCAGGAAACTATAGCAGCGAGTGATCACTAGATGACTATGTCCAGCCTTGAACTTCCGCTGTCATAATCGCATCTGCTGGAGCCATTCTAAAACTACCGGAAGACTGACTTTGATGCTCACACTCGAGCCGCTAGTCAAGTGGAATGGTCGCGGCCTCAGGATTCATCCGTTGTAGCTTGTTGGTCTGTTATAAAAGAAGGTGCATAATCGCTGTGTGCTCGATTCGTACCCCTCAAATATCGGAAAGCTGGACTAGTAAAGCCAAATTGGTCCGACAAAGCGTATGGCCAGTCGACTCGACAGCGACGCGTATTATTAAATAAATTCCCCCAATCTGGCTCTGCCGACGATTACGAGGTGTACAAAAGGCAGCGGAAGCTATACCACGAGATGAAAACACAGCAGGTCTGGCAGTTTGAGGAGGAGCCTGCAACCGCAGCAAGTAGGTCCCCAAGAGAATTTTCGCCTACGTGAAGCTGCACCTGAGGCCTGTAGGTGACGTAGCAGTATTAGTGACCTCTGACGGGCAGCCTCTAACTTCTAAAATTAAAAGTGCGTCCGCATTGGTGACGGCCTTTGCTACTGTATTTGCAAGTGGGCTTGCGTTTGTACCAAGCTCAACGTGTGCAGCCGCCGCAGTACAATACAGCCTGGATTGCGACTTTGGAAGATGTCCGCAATCTGCTTGACAGTATGAAGCCTGCCAGTCCTGAAGGCCTCCACCCGCTGACTCTCAAGTCGTTGTCGGCCATCATAACGTCCTCTGTGACTGATCTGTTCAACAGACCGCTGTCCGAAGGTGCATTGTCGAGCGACTGGAAATGCTCGGTGGTGAAGCCGATTCAGAAAGGCGGTGACCCAAGTAAGGTGGACAATCACCGGCCGATTTATCTGATCTCAGTTTTGGCCAAAATACTAAAGAAGATCGTGGAAAAAGGTCTACTGCAACTGCTGGCATCCAAAAACTTTCCGGTGCCCGCACAACAAGACTTCATGTAACACTACCCGGCATGAATGGTTGCAAGCGTTGAAATGGGGAAAGTCGGTGGATATGATCTACATTGATCGCAATAAAGCGTTCAGCAAATGAAACATGAGGTCCTCCTACATAATCGGGAAATGTGCGATGTTGGTGGCTCACTGCATAACTGGATCAGTGACTTCCTTATTGGGCAGAAGTGGAGGGTACAGGTGGATGATCGTTTAACTGATTGGTATCCTCCACCAGTGGGGTACTCCAAGGCACAGTGCTGGGAGCCCCCCTTAGTTCCTGATGCACAATCAAAGAAGTACCTCAGCTTCTTCACTCACCTCGTGCCTTGTTTGCGGACGACCTGGAAAGTTGGAGAGCAATCGATACTCTCGACGACTGCGACGTACTTCAGCATGACTTCGTCCGTCTGTTTGTGTGGTCTGCACAT